CCGACACTCGGATTTGCATTGCGCACACACAGCCTGAGGTCAGACTCCTACACCACCAGGTAACTCTTCCTGGATATAAACTGGAGTATTTTCCTATGAGACAATCAGTGACAGGAGAGAAACTGCTTTCTACCCACTTCAGGGAGGTCTGTGTTTGGGGGCTCTACGCTAGCACCTGCTCAGGAGGCATTTTTCACGACCAACGCCTTTGCTGCACTGAGGGAGTCGCTGGGAGCAGCGATAACCCACGGAGCAGCTCTGCCCTGGGTCAGGGCTCCCTGGTGCTGCAGGGTGCCGGGCGCAGCAAAGGAGAAGGAGAGGGAGGACACTGCAACCCTGCAGAGCTCCGAGACACCTCAAAGAACTCAGGGTTATACAGGATAAACACACTCATTTTCCTCTTTCCTCACCTTTTTCAGAGCATACCGAACCTTGCATTAAATGCAGTTAAACACAGAGTTAATCCTTCAGCTTGATGCAGGCGCAGACTGCTCAGAGTCACAAACTTGCCTGAACGTGACGACGAGCAGAGAGCTCTGCTCTGCGAGCTCCCGTCTCCTGCACGCTCCGTGCTGCTGTCGCTTGTACAGCCCAGCACAACCAGCTTCAGTGCCAGCAGCTTAACAGGATGGCGCAGACGTTAGGAATTGCTACTAGGAAAGAAAGATATTTGCAGGAAGGTGAGATAAGAAAATAAATAAAAATCTTCAGTCAACACAAAAGGTAAATGTAGAAATATTAGAAGTACTCGTCACAAAAAGACAAAGCAGAACCCGCTTGTTGCCTGAACCCCGTTTATATCTTGCAGCTTTTATTCCAAATACTAAGGAAAAGTTTATTCTTAGAGGAAAGGAAAGAGAAGAGAAAGGGAATAAAGGAGGCATTGCCATGGATGTAATTATGAATTCCTACCCTACTAACAGGCGTTTTATTAGTTTTACCAACCACTCCTCAGACGCCATCCACCAGATGCGAGTCCCGAGTCGCACGCAGAGAAAAGCCGGCAAGAGTATTTCACCTGCTGAATTCACACACTGGGGCTTTGAACTCTGAAAGTATGGAGGATGCTCTTCTGGAAGCAATAGGGTGGTGGGGGGGGGAAACCCCAAACAGAAACATGACCATTCAACATACCATGCTTGGGGCTGTAAAAGCTGCTTCTCGTTATTCTATTCAGAAAACAATAAAGTGAGAACCTGGAGTAACAAACCGTCCTTTACACCAGCCAAATACCGCGGCGTTGACACAGGCACCTCTCGAACCCTGGGGGACGTAAAGGTCTGACCTGCCGGGGCAGCCGCTCTCGCCACGCTGAGGGCCAGGGCCAGAACCTGACACATCCAATTCTCTGAAATTAGTTCACGTAGGCACCGATACAGGTAACGTTTTCCTTTAATGGTGAATGATTTTATAATGAAGCAGAAACATATCATGTATTCCATGCAACCAACCTCATTTATTGAAAAGTCCTAATTTTATTGCCTTGTTTAGTAACATGTTTGTTCAACAAACTAATCTTTCTCATGAAGCAAAGCACAACTTTTTCTTATAAATAGTATAAATTATTTTATTTACAGAAACTTGTTACAAAACAAATAGACTATATATTTATTTTTCTTTTAAATATCCAAAGTAATTTTTCTATCCCATGACATTTGTTCATGTACTATACAGCAGCCAACACAGAGTTCAGCTGATCAGATGCTCTTGATTATGTATACAAATTATCAAACTATTCACACATTTTACACAGGAGATTGCTTTTAGAACCAGGCTCAACACCGAGCAAGATGCTTTCAAGGCCTACATTCACATTGACATTATGTAGTGCTCATTTTAAAGTTATCTTTAAAATGTAAAATATCTTGCACAAAAGGTAAAAATGATTATTTTCTGCTGACCGGTGAAACATTTCAGAATCTTTCTAAGCCCAATTCCCTCCTCCAGGACAGAACGAGTGAAAGACGAGAGAGAGATTCCTTGGCAAGAGAACTCTGACAGGAAGACAACTGCCTTAGAAATGTCACTTGGAAATCACATCTTTATTTTTTAATGGGTTTAAGAGGTACTTACTTGTGGGGTTTTTTTGTTTGTTCTGTTTTTTAATGCCGACTATTTTAAACCTTTTCTAAATTATTTTATTTATGAATTAATAACCCCCTCTCCCTCCCCACCTAAAATGAGACAGTTAAATAAACTGCTGGTTAAAACCATATTTCAAACTCCTCGGCATTATATTAAATATGAGTTATCAGTGGGATTGTGCCAACACAAGGTATTCTAATTAAAAGATTTTACAAAAGTTACCAGCATCATTCGCTTTCTTTTGTCAACCCATCTCATTAATTTCAGAAAATATATATATATGTATGTGTGTATATATCTACACGCGCACACATACATATACATACACACACATATATTGTATATAGGTGGAAAAAGCAAGCTCCAACATTTCAACTGAACATTCAAGTCTTTTAAGGAGAAGCTGTCTAAACAGTCCAAGCTTAAAACTAGTTATATCAGGCACTTTCAGTTTTTCCGTTAGTTTTAAACCACATGAGACCCACACGAATGCGCACGCACACACACGCACACGAACACTAAAAAAAAGAGAAGCAGTGTGTCACTTAACTAAATGTAGTCTTCTGGGAATCAGGCAACTGATAAGCAATGCCGTTATCCACCATTTCGGCTCCGATCCTGCGCTCGGGTTCCCGCGGCAGAACCCGACCGCACGACCCGGGGCAATATTTTTTGCGTGTATCCACTCCCGAGACATGAAAAGGGACACAGCTTTCACAAAACGGAGGCATCCCTTAAGTTGCAAAGTAGGCATGTTAACTATTGGCTTGGCAGTGAACCACTTCAAATTATAAAAAGGTATTTGCTTTTTTTTTTTTAATTAATTAATAAATAAATACTAGATGATCTCAATTGTACCAAAACTGGATATAAGAAAAAAAGACCTGTGCAAAAATACATATTTAAATATGTACAATCAATTAACAAAATATGTCTTCTGAAATAGGGATACTTCAATATTTATAATAGAACAAGAAATTCCAAAATAAAGATACAAAAGTATGTTTTTTTTTTTTTCTTGTATAACTCTTTGTTCATCATTGCAGCAATTTTTTAGGTTAAGAAAACTGCAGGAGTCATAACGAGAAGTTGGAAAGACTATAAAAACTGTATCTCTTAAATTAATACCAAAATCTGTCTAGAAACAACCCAGCCACTGCAAATTCAATTTTGCGAGGAAAATTAATTTTAAGCTTCCTTAATATTTACAGTAAGAACTATGTGACAATAAAAGCTTCAGGAACAATGTCCTGCCTAGAACCAAGATCTAAAACATAGTATTTAAGCACGTCTATGCTCGAGGGCAGACAGAATTTACAATGTTCTAACTCTTTACTCCCAATGGCTTACAACCGCGCGACGCAGGTGACTGCGGACGCTGGCTCGGTACGAGCAGCGATCAGGAATTCACTTTTCATCACGTCTGCACGCGACCGAAGCAGCACGGATTTGCCATTTATGCTTTCAGATCAACAGAACCTTAAAAACAGAGGAGAGTTCGATCACAAACTCACTAGCGTTCAATCTTGCCCAGTTTTTGTTTCCTTTACCTTTGTGTCTATCGAGGGTCAAATTGCACTTGTGACTCGCGCTATCCTGAAGTGGAAGCTCTGCCCCACGGACTTCATCAGAGCGTGGATTTCACTCCAAACGTGCAGGATTTAATACGCTTTGATTTCTCTTTGTGGCATATCACTTTGGTTCCTTTTACGTTAAACCAATCGCAGTTCTAAACAATCCTTTCAACAGGGCATCTTATTAAATATGAATCCTTTTGTTCCTGAAAAGTTGTCTTTTTTTTTTTTTTTAAAAAAAAGTTTGCATAATAAGTGTCTCTAGTACGTTGCTTTCTCAATGTGATCTTTCGTATCGATTCAAAGCTAAAGTGTCTGCATAGAGGCTTCTCGTTGTTTTGCTGTATAACAATGATTTCATAGCAAGTTCAGGTTAAACTGAAAGCATCGGTAGGTAAACAACTAAGCAACTGCTACTCAGAGTGGCTTTGGATTCCCTGATGTACTACTACTTGCCACCAGAACTGGGGAGAAGGCTGGGCTACGCAAACAGTTGGACAGGCTCAGATTGTCTCTTCTCAGCAACAGCTGGTGCCCCTTTAAGGCAGAAAAATAAAATATCTTCTCGGTTAGGAATTTGTTTTCCTTTGCTTTGCCCCTTAATAAAAGTTTAGTCAGTTTTGAGACTTTACCTGATGTTTAAAAACTTAACAAAAACATCCAGACGAATCAAATCATAGTACAATAAAGCCCTTTAGCGGAATTCACTTTTGAGGTGTTTTGAAGCAAGACAAAATATTTCATAAAAATTGGCTGGACTATATAAAACCATGTAAAGCCCCCGTTATTCATAAAGCCTGGGTAGGTATGGGATGACTGTGATGCACACATCTGCACTTTACGGTGAACTCTGCTCTAAATTTATTCCAGAATTTTGGGAAAATAAAAATATGAGTGGTTGAAAGTGTAACAGTTAACAATTTAGTTATACAAACAAGACAGAAACTGACTTTTATGGGGTTTTTTTTTAGAAATTATTTAAATACTTAGTTTTAAAAGGGCTATTTTTACCAGCTGGAAGGCAAATCCAGCCTAATTTAACCAATAAAGTTGTTTTTTTTTTAAAATAACAAAGGCCTATGGTATACAGTATAGGTCAATAAATACGTTCTTTGGGCATGTAGTTTTAGAGGTTATTTGCCTTTGTCTGTTTGATCTTCTTGAATTTTTTTTAAACAAAATTAACTTTTCTTCTGCAATCATATCTTATTCAAAAGAATAGAAAATAGGTTTTCTATCATGCAAGTACAACATTTTTTATACTTGTTTTCTGAGCGATGGCCTCAAACAAGTTTTTCTGGGTTTTTTTTGTTGGGTTTGTACTGTTTTTTAAACTCCTGTTAGCTTCTTATCCCAAATTACTTGCAAAAGGCTGGGCAAAACACAGACTATTTTTTGAATTGTGCTATTTTTATATTCCATTAAAGGAACATTGCTATAAAAAACACTAAAGCCATATTCCCTTCTTGAGGGCTTCTTTCCATTGTGCCTCACACATTTTTTTCCCCCTTGTCGCGGGGTCCTCTCCATTGAGGGTGTCTGTCTGGTTAGCTATCACCTACAAAAGACACCATCAGTATAAAAATAAGTCCACAGTAACGTTTATTTCCCCCCCAGAAAACATTCGTTTGCCCAGCCAATCTATGTCAAATAGTGGCAAGATGATGTACTCCTGTAAGTAAAATCTCACAGGTTCGTAGCAAACAGTCCAGACCACCGTTAACACTGATAAAGAGCAATAATGTGGCTGAACTTCATCCAGTGTCCATTTCTAGTATATTCGCTGCTACAGACATGGCTTCAGGGAAATTCCTTGTTTAAGTGACAGTCCAGTAGATTTCCACACCTGAGGACCATGGGAAGTTGGGAAAACTCAAGGCATCTTGGAGTCCAGAAATCCAGATGGAGGTTTTGCTTGTAGTGAAAATTGTCCAGTTCGTTTCTCACCGTGGTGCGTTCAGCTATCAGGGACGTGCCTTTGGCTTTTGAGCAAGCAAAAGAAAGAGAAGGACGAGTGAGCCAGGCTGTTACAGCAGATGCCCTTAAAAGACATTTTCCGGATAACGAGAGCCTATTTTGGGGAGAATCAGCAGGCACAATGCGACACCACTAACACGCGGTTGGCTTCTCTGAGACTTGGCAATTCTCAAGCTAAAGCTCTTTAAAGTTATAATGGTTTTAGACATTATTTTCTTCCTTAATTCACTCTGTATATTTCTCCTGTATTTATATTGCACAGTCGAAATAGTAACTAGTAGGTAAGTCAAAAAATAAATTCCGCTATCTCAATGCTTTTTTTTGTTACAGCAAACAACACAATGGTGAAAACCTTCCTCTATGGCTGAAACTGAAAATTAAGAAACCATTCTGGAAAAGCTCTTACTGACCTCCCAGCTCTCCAGGTACACAGATTTCAGGTTACTGGCACCAGAGGAAACAAAAAGTTTCTTGGATTTTCAATCTTGAAAAATCTAGCTCTAAAGCTACTCTCTAAAATGCCATCTTCTATACTCTCATTGAGCTGCAGCAAATTATTTTTACCCCTCCAAGTCAATTTGAATAGTATTATTAGGAAGTCTGAGCTACCAGTTTCTAAATTATCTCTCATCCTAACTTATCAAGAACTTTATCTCCCAATACACTACTTTTCCAGTGCGATTTATTTAAAAAAAAAAAATCAAACCCCCCAATCTAGTTTTTAAAATGAGATCTGCTTCCTTTATAGTAATCTGTTTGCTTTACCGACTAAAAAGGTTTCTATCTTATTTATAACATTTAATCTCATTATTACTAAGAAGTTAGTCAATGACACCTTGGGATAATAAGCTTATTTTATCACAGTATCACAGTTCTGTTATCAGCATCACTATGTTCCACTTCATGGAATGTTTATTACTGACACAGAAACAAGAAGTCAGGCTGAGAGATGTAGCTCAGTTCCGTGGCTGGCTGGCAAGATTTACTTTCAAAACTACTTTTTTTAATTGTGAGGACTGAATTTCATCTGAGAGCAGTTCACAGGCAACATCTAAGGAACTTGGAGCGTCATATTTAAGGTTACTTTAAAACCAAAAAGCTACACTTTATGAGAGTGTTTATAAAAATCTCGTGTAAATGTACTATAAAAACACTCAAAACAAGTAGTGGACAAATAAGAGAACTATCTTTTTCTTGAATCGGATCTTGAATTGGCTAGCTAATAATTAAGAGAACATGGGTAATATACACACGTGAAGAGGCACGTTCATATTGGCTTAGTTCGAGACAAAATTTCATACCTGATGAAAAAGAGAATTGTTCATCAGCCCTTGCGTCCCTGGGATTGCACCAGTGTGTTTTGCATGAACATTGTTCACCGATGTCAATTTGGCAACTTTGTTTGATTTGCTGCTGCTGCTGCTGCTGTTTATGCTGCTTGAACCAGGTGAGCACTTTCTTTTCTTTCCCATAAATTTGTCAAGGGAAGTATGCGAATGTGAAAAACCGCTGTGTGAATTCACAGTCAGCTCGCTGGACTGATGAATGAACGGCCCTAAGGAGAGCGTGGAGTCGCTGCTGTTCATCATCACACTCATTCTCTTTATCGATTCTGCAGGGCTTCCAGTCGGAGGACCCCTCCCTGATTGGTCATGTTTGAGGCTAACCGAGTTAGCTTTGCTAGTCATACAGTTGAGGCCAACGCTGTGGGACGAAGCTGTCACCGATGGATGATAGGAGGTCCCAGAGTTTCCAGAGTTAACCACACAGTTTTTTCTAAAGGACTCTGTGGAATGAGAAGGTGCTAGCAGTGCGGAACTGTTTTTACGCTTCTTTCCTGAGCCGCCGCTGCTACTGACGCTGCCGGTACTGTTACAGGTGCCACTGCCAGCAGAAGATTCCTTAGGTTTAAAAGATTTGCTGGATTTCATTTTCTGAGGTTTGCTGGGCATAGGTGAAGGTACAGAGGAAAGCACTGTAGGTGTTGAAGGGGATGAAGACACTTGTCTTGATTGCATACTGCAGACAGGATCCACTGCACCCAAAGTAGCAGGATTGGCATTTAGTGTCGTTCCATGTGATGGTACCGATTTATTATTTAGAGACACACAGGAAGGAGATACCAACGCTGGCGATGACATAACCGTGGTGGGTAAGGGGAAACCTGCTGCACTGACACTGTACTGTGAAGCAGGCATTGAGTTTGTCCGATGTGGTGCACGAACTGATGCCGTGTTACTAGATGCTGGAGGAATTTTCCTGCAGGTGAACAGAAAAACAAAAACCTACGTAGCTACCATTCTTTGGAATAATACCCAGTCTAATAATGCTACAGTAAAGCGAGTATCTTGAGGTTGGTTAATGCCACTAAAATATTTTATTAATTGTTGCAAAAAACGTAAAGCGTAGGCTATCAACTTTTGATCTGATTAATCTGAACACAAGATTACTATTGTTCTTTAACTAGAATCACAGGCTTCATGTATTTCTACAAATACCAAGAAGAATAAGAACTCTTTCACTTCTACTCACTTCCACATCTGTGAATTAAGATGCTTCTCCAACATGAAGTCAAGTGCACATCGAATATGGTTCCATCGCTTGTCAAACACGTAATAACCTCTTCCAATTTGCCGACTACCAAATGTGCAAAACTGAAAAGACAGATTTTATTGGTGTTTTCTACTTTCAATAACAACTCTGAATAACAATGCACTTGTTCATAAAAAATATTGCAAAATTAATATGCCTTTAGATGTTTAAATCAATGATAAAAATATATATATTAGAATATTTATTTCTATGGTATAACAACTATTTTATTTTAAATTTTTGGCCTTGGTATATTGGGATCATTGTCTTCCCATTTGATACTCCCATACTTATGGCCAAAAGCAGTGGTCAAATTTGAATCCCTCCCATTAAACAAGGAAGGACAATAGTGTGTGTGTACAAAACCATAATATATATATATGTAACATCTACTTCTGAGGAGCTATCAGTTGTCTGCTCGTAGTCTGTTTTAAAAAAAAAAAAAAGGGAGAAATTTGATATATAGGCTAGGCAATAGAGCTTGTGGTTTTTCTTAGACTAACTAGCTTTTGTCAAGTTTTAAATATTAAAACAATACATTACTGCTACCTTTACTGTGATGATTGGCACCGGAGTAAAAAAACGTGCATGCGTGTGTGGAAAAGTCCAGTAACAAAATTTCACCAAAAAGGCACGTGTCCTTATTCTGAAACCACAGCCCAGTGGTTTCACAGAGCAGTTACCAATTTCACCTTCTGTATTTTGGCATTTTGATGTCTTTTTGATTGGGGAAGTGAGCTCCAAACAGATTTCTTCAGTATATTTACTTTGCAACTACAGTTAAACCTTCCACTGCCTACTAAACAACCAAATAATTTTCTTAAAATCTAGGAAAAACAAGTCACATATCCAATAAGGAATCACCCTTAAAACCCCCAAGTAATTTGTTTACAAGTTCAAAGCCAGCGAGAGACCAAGGTTAACTTTTACTTGGAACGTACAGCGGCTGGTTGAGGATGATGACCTGAATAATGACAATCCAGTTTTTCAACAGGCTCTTCTTTTTCATCACATTCTCCCTCATCACTGGATAACCGAGATGCTGGCTCAGCTGCAGGCAAGGGAGGGTGTGGAGACTCGTGGACAGAAGGAGTCTCGCTAGGGGCATTTCCACTGTGCTGGGCTGGACAGCCTGGAGGCCTGGGCAAGGCAAGCGGTAAAGGTGTTATTGAACTAAGTCTAGTTAAAAAGCTTAAATTACTGATAGAAGGAAATCTACATTAACAGAGATTTCTGATATTTTCCACAGTCTCATAACGCATCCACCGAGGGGAAGGACAGGAGGGACGGTACCCCTGGAAAAGCA